AATCGCAAGGGGATCCCGAAAGAATCCACGTACATAAGTTTACAGCCTCCAAAAAAGCGGAAGCAAAGACAGACAGAGAGACGCGATTTCCAATTGCCACCGACAGGCATGATGTTCCCTCGCGACGTCGCTGGTCCGCCCGATTTTTATAACGTAGATAATAATATTAATAATCGTAAGGATAATAAAGGGATAATACTATTATAATAAAATGGCTTGATGAGAAAGCCGTTTGTTCACGTAACGAGTCGTATATTTTCTGACGTCATTTCGAGATGCAACGGCAGCGGTCAAAGGACACGGGGATGATGGGCAAGGGATGTTATAATTACGCGAAAAAATGTCATGGACTAAAGCTAACTATAACGATCTTGGTTTCGTACATTTATCTTGTAAAGATTGATTTCGTAAATTCTATCTATCTCTCTTTCTCTCTTACATTTTCTGACGTTTCCGTTACGCAGACACTCTGAGCTATCCATTCATGCACGCTCTTTCTCTCGCTTTCTGCCTTTCTTTCTGTATCATTTGCATTCTCACTCGTGAGTACAAACACTCATGTTCGTATAAAAATAATAATAAGATTTCATAATAATATATAATAATATAATATATATAATTATAATAATATATGTGTCTTACGCGTAATTGAATAGAATCCATAAAATTAATAATATCCATCTATATGCTATTTGCAATAAATGTAACAAAAAATAGTACTCAATAATAATAAGGCGTTTTACAAGCGTATTTTGATCCTTGCTTTGATATCGGAATGTATCGACGTACATAATATGATTAACATCAAACGAGCAAAATGTCGTGATCGTGATTGTCCTACTCTAATCTAACGGCTCTAATATAATTGACAACAGATACGTGTATATGTGTTTTATTTCTGTATATGTACGTGTATGCGAATGAATGGGTATTCGTATTGTCTCATCACACATGTAGACATATGCGCGCCATCAAATGCGCGACATAAGTTGGCAAGCGGCTTCGCTTTCACCGGTGGCACATTAAAGTTACTTCAAATTAACCTTACGAACTACATAACCACGGATTATTGGTACCGGTTTCGGTGATGTCATGGACCTCATGACAATTCGAATAAAACGTAATCATCTTCGTCATAATTGGCACGAGTTCTTATCTCGCACAGATTACGAATCAATATCTCGAGTGAGAGAACTTAAAATACTTTCATGAAAATAATACGAAACTTTGTGTCGCGATATCTCCACTTGTAGGGCACGTAGAGAAAAAATAAAAACACTTTCATTATATATTCTGAGCGGTCGCAATCGATTAAGCATATTTAGAACTTGATCGGTTCAGCTCTTATTGAGATCCGATAACTTCGATCTGACACAATTCGCCGGTTCGCGTAAAGGAGGCATGGCAGTGTCACTGCGCATACCTTAGTTTTACACTACCAGTGTCTCCAGATAAAAATAATATAACAATCTCAGTAAACAAACTGTCCGCAGTATGCTGATTGACAACAAATAAAAAATTGCTAGCCAATTAACATCAGCCATGTCCGCATTAAGTTCATACTTTATAAATATACAATATTCTTAGAATGTAATATGAATTATTTACCCTTTTTAATATTAATTATATTAATATGAATTATATTAATATGAATTATATTAATATTAATATGAATTATTTATACCCTTTTTAATATTTGTACAACATTCTAAGAATATTGTGTTTTATAGAGTATATCATCGGCAGTACTTGTTGATATGATTTGACAACAGATAGGGAAAAATCAAGGAGAAACCAAATTATGTTTTATTTTTGTTGCTAATCTACGTCAAACTGTGCAGCAAGTAAGTTAAAGTGTGCTTGATTTTTGCCATTAATTTATCATCGTATTTTGTTGATACAAATTTTAATTTAGATGCGAATAATGTCCACATCCATTGTTTGATATCGCTCTGATGATGGCTCGAATGAAGCCGAAACGTCCAATATTGATTTATGCGAAATTTCTTGCGATATTAATGTAAGATCTTTCGTAGAATATATTTTTGTTGTTTATACGCATTTAATAACTGCATTTACTTTTAACTCTCAATCGCCCATCAATTTATTGTTTACTATTATTATTAAATATCTCGAGAGCTCAATTCAGTGTGTTATATCTATATTATTGATAAATTTTAATATTTTCTACCGACAACATATATAGGGTAGATCGGGGCTTTAAAGTAATACGAAAATTTACGATAGCAAATAATATCTCTTTACAGTGACGTGCTTATAATTACATTATACAATCATAATTGCTCCTTGAGAGCACAAGCACAACTTTAAATAATCAACATGTGCAGTTCAGAAATGTAAACATTATCGCAAGAAATATCCCCGATCTACCCTATATGTGCCAGATCCTATTAAATCCGTAGCTTTTCTGCTGATAAAATTCGAAACAAGACTACTAGAAAGACAGTTTGTCATTTTATGCCTCGGAGATAAAAGAATATAAACACGTATGATACTTAATTTTTTTCTTAAACAATACACTAACTACTTTAGTTTCGAGATATTGAATCGTCATCTTATCCTCCAACGTCTGGACTCAGTTCTTATATGCTTACGTGCATGTAAAGAGATTACATTACGGATACAGATATAGCGTGATTATATTACTCTTATTAGTCTTAAGACTTAGAAAAAGTCGTGGCTTCTCGATGCTATCTCGAGCATGACGTGGCAGAGTATGCGGCACAAGGAGGCAATCCGGATTTCTTTTTAAACTTTTTTTTTCATATACACGGTAAGATTTCCGCTTCAAGCCGATGTTTCTTCGCGCGCGATGATCGGTTTGTGACAGCGATATTACGAAATCACGCGACGTCTTCATGCATGCGCATAAATACGTCGGTGCTCGTAAATGTGAAGCTATAAAAGTCTCATTAGCGAGACAGCGGGCCAGATGAGAAGAAAGTGTTGATTAGCTTTTTATGGCGTTTTATGCCGTTGAGGTGAGATGAGAGATCAATTTTTTTGTTTTTACGTTTCGCGTACGTTTTATAACGTCTTGCGCAGAGAGATTCGATATTATTTAAAACGATACAAAAGAGAGCAATATCCTATTGACAGTACATTTCGTAGTGTGCTTATTGATATGTGATATATATTAAATTTAACATAAATTTTCTAATTTTATAATAAACAGCATTTCAAATTGTGTGTCCATTTTCCGATTATCGATGTAACCGAAATCGAAATACGAAGGTAGAAAAAGAAGCAATCGCTTCTGACATTGACTAACACAAACATTCGAAATCATTCGTTTAATTAGAAATGACGGCACGTGCGTTACGATCTATACGAATTCGTCGGGTTTTTCGAAAATAATAATTCACTTTAAGACCAACGCAATGCGATGCATTTCTTAAACGTGTGGGCAAATTAGGAGTCTAAACGTCAGCGTGCGAATTACAATACAAATTAACAGAGACAAGTGGGCGTCTCATATGCATCTACAATATACGTATGCTTATCATATACCGGGATCCTTAAATCAATTTTGATTGATTTACATGGCGTTCGCGTGTTCAACGTGACGCTTCGGTATTCTAAACTAACAATCGTCAATATAAAATGTTCATGGGACGCAAAACAAAGTATAACGTACGCTTTTCGTACCCGCGACGTACGACATTCTTGCACATTCGGCTTGCTCCAGTCGAATCGAAGCCCATACATCTGTGAGCGATAAAGATTTATATTTAACCCTTTCACATCTAATTTTCTTTAAGAGGAAAAGGTTTAGTTTAGTAATTTTTTTAGTTCAGCTACTTTTGTTGAAGTTGCTAAATACAATAAAGGTATAATAATGTAACAGTCTAAAATGGCGGATTCAATAACAAACATAAACGTAAAAGATAAAATATATACAAATTTAATAAAAATTTGTACTGACAATATTTGTATTATCGTTTTCGTGGCCGCAAAATATGGATTCAGTTTATAAAATAATATAAAAAACAACAAAATATATATTGATAAGAATAAGGTCCAAAAGTTTTCGGTCTACTCTCTCTCTCTCTCTCTATATCGCTATAACCAATAACACCATTATATATTCTTCTATCATTGAAATAAAAAAAACTTTAACTTAAAATGTTCCAATGTTACTCCTATCTGGTAAAAAAATGTTTCATACCTGAATACGTATAAATATGTATAACATACATAAATAATCATAAACATGTACAATATGTTCATCCTCCTTTCTTTTGTAAAATTACTTTTTAATGTAATAGAAATAATAATAGTAATGTGCAAAATTAAAAATAATTAAAGGAATAATTTTCGCAGTGATTGTTTTAGAAAAAACAAATTTGAAGAAATATGAAAAAAATTGCTCATACACAATTTATTATGCATAATTTTGTATATAATTATACATAAGAAATTTTGTACATTTCTTTAAACTTAATTTTTTCTAAAATAAATAATCCTTACGAAATGTAACGCAACATACCTTTCATAATTAGTCACCGAAAACTTTCAGATCTGTGTATATACACACAAATAACTTTCCATATTTTTATATTCTAAGTTCAATCGCGAAATTCTCACTATTCGGTTTTATAAAAAATTGATTAGAGAATCAAAAGTTATAAATAAAAGAATATAAAGAGCGTTCCACGCAACACTCGCGAGCATTATTTGTCCTTGTTTAACATTTGATGAATAACAAGGATTAAATAATTCACGAGCGTTGTGAGCGTTAAATGGAACGCAGTCAAAGTGACTCGTTTCGAGAATCAATTTTCGGAGTTCTTATTTCATTTATATTTACATTATAAAGTAATCATAAGAATTATATGATAAAATATTCATTATAATATTTTTAATTAAAGTTTAAGCAATCTTTTTTAATATGAGCTTTATTTGATGTTAATGATTGAATATCTACCAGAGGCATGATTTTTTAAACGTTTTAAAACATATATCCCCTACTGGATGTGAAAGGGTTGAAGTGTCATAAAAATATTTAGCGTATGCTTATTAGTTTTTTGGTAAATGTTTCGATAATAATTATTGTATCGATAATTGTTCAAAACATGTATCCGTTTAAATATAGGCTTCGACTGTGATATTATACTACAGAGTTGAGCTTTAATTGCATATCTTCGGCTGATTTCATTGTCGACATCTTCATTAAGTATCCATTAACTCATTGTTTAAATACGAGCGGCAAGAGGAGAACAGTAAGAACCATGGCACATAAAAACTTAAACAATAAAACGTAAGCAATAACAAATTCAACATGTTAATGTCCTTACTGCTTACAGTTTATATTGTTAAAATTTTTTATAACCCTAAAACATCGACAACGAAATCAGCCCGAAATGTGCAATTAAATCTCTGTTACACTATACGATTAAAATAACGTGGCATCGATTCTTCTTTGAACTATCACGTTGAAAATTCGGTGATCTTCAGAAATGTATTCTCTCTTGATTCTTCTTGATTGTTCTTGCTGGAAAATAATTAACACGTTGCTACTTGGATCTTTCTCGATGGCCATTTTTGAAAGACACATCATCAAGTAAACTATACAAGAATCTTCAACGTGGTGCGAAAAAAATTCGCTATTTATTTAATAATTGTTATTTAATAACAATTATTTAATAATTGTTATTATTCAACGCAAGATATTGCTGATCCTTCATTCATCCAAGCGATCAGTTCTCGTCAAGCTTGCGTAGCGTATTTACATAAACGTTTCTTGTTCGTTCAGGTTCACGTGTTACTATTGTCGTGAACATGCACATGTGCATGTGTGGAATTGGCGAGGGGTGAGTGTGGTAGATGTGGAGGCGATGAAGGTAGTTCGATGAGAGTGACGTCATATCCGGCGGAAGAATCACTCGGATCGCCAGGGTCACCAGGCGAGCCCGGATTATTCGGGTTGCGTTCGCTGCCCGGGTCAGAATTGATCCGCGAGTGGCTCACCTCCAGCAGAAACAGGTCCTCGTCGACGTAATATCGGACCATGTCGTCGTCAATTTTCGCTGTAATTCTGCAACAGGATACGGTGAAATTCTCAGTTAAATCTTTTCGGCGCAACTCGCGAATGAAAGCGGCGAATCTCGTTCCTGAGAACGTAATCGTTCGAGTTTGCATGCAACGTGGTAACTTCGGCCACTACAATATTGTGACACTTGATGAACGAATTGTGTTTCATACAATTTCCATTGCGTATGATTAACAAAATCTCTTAATAAGTGTTAAAATTTTATGGCTTAAAAAATTTTTGGCAACAATAAGTTTTATAAGAGAAGTTCTCGTATTGCGATGAATATTACTTCTTCTATGGCTACGTTCAGCAGAGAAAACTAATCAGTTGGCGCTTAGTAATTCTTTAATATGATTGTTTCCTACACTTAGATCCAACAAAGATCTAAAGGCAAGAACTAATCATATTAAAGAATCACTAAGGCCCAGTTTCACAACTCATGGTTAACTCTTAACTCTTTAAAGTTCAACTTGCTTCTCATCTTTTTTCAATTCTAAAATTGGAAAGAGACAATGTGAATAATAAGTTGAACCTCAATTATAAGTTAATTGTCAGTGGTGGAATTGAGTCTAACTGATTAGTTTTCTTTGCTAAACGTAGCCTATTTAATATATTTTTATAATAATTTTTTTCGTTTAATATAATTTTACGATATTAAAATGAAATTATTGCATATAGTTCACGATTTATGGCATCGTTATCGAATCATCACAGTATCATAACGGCAAAATGTCTATGCTGTCTCGCGATGGATCTTCTTCAAGATCTCGTGATGAAAAAAGTGGAGTTCGCACCGCATTATGCGTAGCTTGAGAGAAAGAAAGAGAGAGCGTAAGATAGGATTTGCTTGAATGACGTGAGATGTACACGTCGAGTAACGAAGAATATCTGTTCGAGGGAACAAGTTCCTGCAGGAATACGCAGTGCGTAACCAACGTATGTTGGAAAGAGTACCGGCAGAATAAAATAATCAGTTGAACGAGACGCATGACGACATTAGGCGAGGCAGGCAAGGCGTGCATGAGTGCGCTTGTGACGGAAGGCAGAAGACGAGAAGCGTAAAGGATTAGTGGATTAATCAGGCGTGAGTGTGCGTAGCGGTAGCGAGATGTAGTCAGCGTGCAACTACATTCGCGTTAAGGTGTTCGACAAAGAGAGGACATTTTTAACGAGAGAGTACACACGAGAATGGCGTATACATTTAAATACATATGTCGCAGAGAAACGTGTATCCGACATTTGAAAGAGGCACGATCAATAGGCGAGAGGAAGAGCGAGAGAGAGAGCGAAAGAGAGAGAGAGAAAGAGAGAGAAAGAGACAGAGAATGAGATAGAGAAATTAGAGAAAGAAAAAGACTACCAAACCAGGCGGAGAGAGTCAGGCAATGTCACCGTTATGGCATGCATCGCGTAGGCGTGCATGCAAGTAAAGATGACACTCTACTAAACTTACCCCTTTGTGTTTTTGCGATAGAGGTTATTAATACTCGAGGATGCAATTTTGTACTTTGACTCAATCTGCAAAATAGAAAAAAGTAGAACATTAGAATTTCGATAGTGGCTTGCGGACCGTCGTTTCGTTTCGCGCACGCACTCGAGAAAGTGGTCGCGAGACGCGCGTAGGTAGACGCAATATTACCGCGAGAATGACAGCAAGAGAGAAAGACAGAAGGATAGAGCGAGATAAAAGTAGACAAGACAGATCGAAACGGGAAGACATAATGATGAAGAGATATATATCGCGCGTCACAAGAACGCGGAGGCAGTTTAGAATCGGTTCAGAGCGCGGTATCCGAGATAGGAGATCACGCGTGGATCAATTAGATCATTCTTTCGCGGGGCGCGTAGAAACGCGACGAGAGAAGAGAAATCGTTTGAAACAAGAGAGAAAGAAAGGATGTTTTTTTTTCTTCCGCTTTTTTCTTCCGTTATTTCTGATCGGTATAACGCGTCTCTTACGTCCATATCTGGTAGATCGTTAAAAGCCGCCGACAGTCTCGCACATCCGCGGAGGAGGAGGGGGTAAATATGATCGTATGTCTTGCATTATCGATAATGTATTAATGAGGATCTTGGATCACACAGTGGACAGTGATGCATGCGCATTAATATTAATTAGCGAATGGACCAGTGCGAACGAGTATTAATAATGGCGCAGTATGCTTTTACATGCATGAGTAATACATACTCTCTCGTGGGGCTTGTATATGTGCACGTAAAATATATGTGCATATACAGTGGCGTGCAAAAGTTCCCGGCCAGTGACATTTTGTATACTCTAATTTATTTTAAAAAAGCCCGAGAAAATTTTAATCATTATCATATGTTGGTACAAGATTTCATTATCCACATCTTGTACTGATACGCGATAATGGTTAAAATTTTATCAGGCTTTTTTTATAAATTAGAATACAAAATGTCACTGGTCGAAAACTTTTGCACGCTACTGTATATATGTATGCGTGTACAATTTCCGCGCTCATCAAATCGCAAATTGGATTAGCAAAACTAAACTGGTATCGATTGAAATCGAAACAGACATTAGTTATATTCCGGCTGTGCAACTTTATTAAGCCTGGAAGTGTTTATCGGGGAAGCGTATCTCGATCGATGGTAGCGATAGCACATTGCATTATTATTGTCTCGCTTCTCGTTCTGTTTCCAGAGCAGGCCTCGCCGATGAACGACAGCGTAATCATGAATTAACACCCACGGTCGCGCATATTCGACGGTGCGCAATATGTTTTGCATAAAACACATCACTGCTACCGTATGCTTATCGGTCGCGGTATGGAAATGGTGAGAATTTCCATTTCCCATTTCCATTTCTACGAGCGGGCTTGTTATTTTACCTACTTTACTACCGAATGACAATCAACATTCAGTTGATACAGAATTTGCAAAGGCATATTTCCCCACGATTATGCGTATTCACTTTAAATATTACTGACATTTATCCCCTGCTCTGTCTAAGATTGACGTTACGCCTGTATCGTACGATTCATAGTAAAGACCAATAATTTTCTCTATACTGCGGACGTTAATAGTTCACAACGCAGAACGGGTGTCTTAATGTATCTGCTCTCTATAACTTCCGCTATATTTCTTTCGAAAGTATCTCTGAGAACGATGCAGTTCGTTCCCAAGCGGATCGTGCGAATCGTCACAGGTCTGCACACCCAGAGAAAAGGTTGCTTCGAATTAAAGAAATTTCGGTTAAATAAAAAAATTTCTTTAATTTAAACATTTTTTTAAATCAAATAAAATTTATTTGATTTGAACATAATTTTTTCAAACCAAATAAATTTTATTTGATTAAAAAAAATAATGTTTAAATCAAGGAAATTTTTTCATTTAACCGAAATTTCTTTAAATCGAAGCAATCTTTTCTCTGGGTGCAAAGGTCTCTGAGATTCCTCTCTACGAGCGAACATTTGCGTGGGAATGTTTGTTGTGAGATGTCGATGTGTGTAGGCGATATAAAAGAAAAGAGCTTTAGGATATTTCTTACAGCATTGAGGAGCCCCTGGGCTGTCGGTGGTGTGACGTGCAGTGGCGTATAGACGTCTTCCGATTCCTGACGTACGTAGAGCATGACGCGTTCCTCGGCGTCCGCTGGGCGTAGATGCGGCGGCTGCTGTTGTAGGTGCAGCCGATTACCGACACTGGACACCACCGTGCCCGCCAGGCCGGTCTGCACCCCTTGCAGCATCGAGCCCTGCAGCTCCTGCACCTGCATCAGCAACGAGTCCTTCTTGTCGTGCAGGTTACTGAGATTGTCGGGCGGAAAATGGTTGTGGAACTTGAGGGCCGGCAGACTCGGCCGGGCGCATGGCGGTGGATAGGGGCTGCTACCCCCCGCCTTCAATCCTCCACCTTCACCATTACTGAGGGACGAGGTGTCGGTGTCACCCCCTCCCCCGCCGCCGCCACCACCGTAGAAGCCCGACAACTCCATCGTCGAGAACTGTCGTGGAAGAGAGAAGAACAAGGTTTATTTTTTACTCGGCGTCTTTTTCTTTTCCTCACGAGACGACCCGTTTAAATTTCACATTAGAAAACGAGGAGTAACTTTGAAGCGACGTTAATTCCTTTTCTTAATGTATAATATTAAAGAGAGATTGACGACTTGCGAACAAATTGAAAGTCAATGGCGGCAAAGGATAAATATGACAACTCATCTGTTTTGATAATAAAAATAATAATGCTACGCAATGCTGTTAGTCATAATGTAGTAACTAATTACGACACAACTCATATATTCATTGTAATAAAACTAAAAACATAAAAGTATATATTGAAAGGCTATTACTCTGGTTCGTTAAACTGAATTGACATTCGAAAGGCTGTCTCGAGAAAGTCCACGTCACTACTTTGCGATGCAAGAGTTGCGGTTAGTGCAGGGTTTCGGCGGGGGTGAGAGCAGAGGATTGTGGATGCCACACGATTTTTCTAAGTTCATTTTTGCGCCAATTAATTAATTTAGATACATGCTATGATGGCATAGCACACTCGTATTTGATATACTACGATAACGTAGCACACTCATATTTGATAAAAAACAAATTAATAACGCAGATGTCTTATATCAAGTTTTATGCATATTAATGTAGCGTATTAAAAAAGTTTATTCTTATTTATAATTTATTATATTTTTGTAAACAGAGACAATCTCTTTTATAGAATTATTAACTCTCCGCCGGCAATGTAGGATTTTAAAGACATATTCGATTTTTTAGTTGTGATTCTAGTAGACAAATTTAAATCTGTAATAAAATATAAGTAAAATACAATTCGACTTCTTATGATAAAAACTTGTTGTTAAAGCTTTCACAAATATATAAGAATTTGTCGTATTTTAATACAACCTGATACATGATATAAAAATTTGTATTGAAGTTCGAAGAACAGGTTGCGAATGCGAAGAGTGAAAATTTTACATTGCCGATGGAGGATTAATATTGTAATTAAACATGTTCGCAATCAATGTTTCTGTGAGAACACAGCAAGTTCTTATTGATGATACACTATTACATGTTTGAGTAACATATAAGAAAACGATGTGACTACCTTATCGATGGCGTGTTCAGCCGGTGGAGAGAACAGCACAGGCGGTTTGTGCAGATCGACCATAGAATAAAACTCGCTGCGCTCCGTAACGGGGTGATAAAGCTCGTCGAGCTTTTTTCTGCCAGTCGCTGTCATCTTCCTCTTAGCCGCGCGTCTCTCTTCGTCCCGGGTCTTTCTCTCAGCTCCCTACGATAAGCAACATCATCTTTCAACTTAATTTCAGCTATCACATTGCGACCAGGAAGCGATCGCGCGTTATTTACATCGCAAATGAAGAGGGAAAGAGGGGGAGATAAACGTATGGAAATGCAGAAGAGCAGTTACCTTATCGCAGAAGACCTTAATTTGACAGTAGCCGCGATGGGAAGGCGGCGTATACGTGTGCGTGTGGGGCGGTGGTTCCTCGTACGTGTCGACCTGGATATGCAGTGGCAAACCCTTCACGCCTTTCTGACTCGAGAAATCGGTACTGAGACATTGCACCGCCACGTTTATCTGTAGATCAGAAATCGGACAGGTAGCAGCGGCGGCGGCGCGGCGGCGACACGGGAATTGCTTTATTAACGTTTCCGCTAAATGGCCATGCAATCGAATGCGCGAGCGACACGATATTTGCGCATAGCGCAAGATTGCATCGCGATAAACGATATATATATATATATATATGGGAAAGAGGGACGGAGAGACATGTACATGTCGTTAAGAAGGTAACGTGAATCGACATTTCCGGCGTTCCTTACCTTTGCCGACGATTCGAGTGGGTTCCAGTAAACGGCAATCGCATTGTGCGCGACTTCCTCTATGCAGCCCACCAAGCCAACGCTATTCTTTGTGTCTGTAACAACGGACGTGACTCTGAAACTCGCGGATCATGCAGGGGAATATGAAATAGCTAGTGCTATTCTTGGGACTTTTAGATAGAATATTAAAATAACGGGGCATACGTCCGCGATAAAATCTTACCGGTTGTCCGTTATAGATTATGTAGCTTGCGTAAAGTACAAGAGATTTATAATTAGAGATTTAATCGATCAAGAATTTCTTAAAAAAGTACCCAGTCAGAAATGATGATGGAATCGACATCGAATCGACGTCGATTCGACGTCGAAAGCATCGAATCGACGTCGATCCGATGTCGATTCCATTATCATTTCTGGCTGGGGTACGTCTGCGTTTTTTAATTTATGAAAAAAACTATCACTGTTATTCAATACTTTATATCACTTCTACTTATTTATTTATTTACAGATATCTATATTATTTTATTTAAAGTATTTTCCAAGTTTTTCAAGTACCAGCGTCAAGAATCCGTTGTTTGACAGAGTGTTGCCTCCCGTGCCAAAACTGCCAGGATTTGATTTCATCCTCCGGACTCTTCTCCTCTCGGAACATCAACATTACTACGCTCTATGCAGCACATGTAAATAATTATTATCACATGACAGATCGAGCACAAATCGAGAGTTACGTACATTATTCCTAACGGCAAGATAAGACAAGGGAATAACACATCGTGAGAGAAATTTTACATGCGCGCATGTAAAATATTTTTCACGATGTGTGTTTCAAGATCCCTATATTTTATAATAAACCTGATATATGTGTGAAGTGGTATAAATAAATATCTTGTGTGTCTACAAAGTTGGCTTTCGGATTTCAGCCGGATCGGCGCGATATACGCGGGGACGTACATCGACCGCGACAGACGCACGCTCGAGCGGGCACACGCGGGCGTGAGCGTTTTCGCCGCGAGCGGCGAGAGAGCGCCGAGACGGAGCTGGAGGAAGGATTTTTCGTGATTCGGGTGAATGGGCGAAGAACTGCGCTCTCCGACGTACCGGAGGAAATATGGGCGCGCACGATCGGAAAGGAGAGGCCCGTGAATAAGAGGTTCGCGTTACGCGGTTACACTTACTTAACCGATCTCCCTTGAGGCTCGCGCCGCGAGAGACGCGGATATACCGTTCGAATCGCCACACGCCTCGCTCTCGACGCTCGATTAGCAATTAACGAGGAAGCCGTAACTCGTCGCCGGCGCACACGACGGAAAAAGAATCCGCCACCTTTATCGGAATGGAAATTGCTAACGGTGCGTGCGCACCGTGGCTGCCAATTAGAGTCGCGAGAACAAACGATCCCGTCTGACTTCTTCTTTCGACACGCCGCGCCGCGCCGCGCGCGCCGATCGTCTCCGCGAATTTTAACGCTCCAGTCACGCGAACGGAACGATACCGTGCAAATGCTTATTGTTGCCGTTTGACATTGATAAGTGTACCGTAGCTACACTGTTAAATATAAAAGGAGCAACGATAAGCCGATCCCTTGAGTTAAAAAGTAACATTTTCATATTTTTAACCTTTATGTGTGTCAAAATGTAAATCAATTCCTTTCTGTGATTAGTTTCAAGATAAACAACACCCATATTAATGTATAAACTTAGTAAATAATAAACCAAATTTGAATCAAATTTAATACATTTTCTCGAGTTGAATATATTTATTTTCATTTACTCTAATTTTAATTGCATTGCCCCTTAATTGTCATTGTTTTAAATCTCACAAGAGTCCTTTATTATTTATTTTCCGAGTTAGACTGTTATTTTCTTAAGTAAATTGTTTAACTCCATTATTTTAATGAAGTTAATACATATTGAGTAGCGGCAGTAGCGACACTGAAAAGCTGTATTAAATTTTAATAAACCATTTATTTAAGCCCCGACTAAATATTTATCGAATATAAAGATAAATTTATTTGGTACAAGAACTATTAATTTAATTTAACAATCACTTTTTTATTAAATAAATTAAGTTTATTTAATGTTATGTATCAAATATAATATATGTATTAAATATAATATATGTATATTTATTAAAATTTAATACATTTTTATTTCAGTGTAAAAATGATTAAAAATAATTCAAATTGAGTATAATTTAACAGTGTATTCATCTCTATCTTCGAAACTATGTATCTACCTACATATATCATCATACAAATGTCATTATTCAAACAGTGCAATTATCCTTTTTGCTCTTACCTTGACTGTCTGCCCTGCCTTGAGGAGCGGCTTGTCCGGATCGGACACATATTCCAACGTGATTCCGTAGAATTGGCCCTTATTGATATACGTTATTCTATCGTCCTCGCGGCGCTGGGACGTACTGATCGGTGACTCCAAGTGGTACTTGAATCCGTAATTCGAGAAACTAAAGAGCAGACAAATAAGATTCCCCAAATGAAGCGTGGATACACACAGCTCCCCGACATATGTGCGCACGTAAAAAGAAAAGCACACATTTAAGAAGCAATCTCCGTAGTGTCTGTGTCATTATGCAGCTGGCTGTTTCACACTCGGTCAAGATTGAATCGCGTTTACTTAATAGACGGTTACGAGCTTGCAAACGAATGCTCAATTAGCTGATTAATGCGCGATGCAATATGAGTGATTATCGTGTCATTATCGGCTAATTCTCCGCCAACGTATTCCTACTTCGCCATCAAGACAAACATACCTAAAGCCGTTTCGCGTGGAAAACAACCGATGCGTGCGCGAGGCAAACAAGACCGCGCAAAATCTTTGCTAATTAGAACGTTCGTCATCGCGCGCGCAAAAAAAAAAGCGATCGCAATCGAGTATGAATATTCCAATCGTTAATAGCGGCAGAACGATAATGAAGGGCCTCGGGAGCCTGGGAAGCTGGTAACGCAGAGTTCGCGCGAATTGGAAAAAGAACGACATCGACAGACACGCATCAACCTTGCCGGAGGGGTGGGGAGAGAAAATCGCGACTTCTAATCGAGCTTATCTCCACGCCGACCGCGACTAAGGCACGCAGGTAGGCGGGCGACCGATAACTTATGAAAAATGAACGCCCATAACCCGAGAGATTGAGGGTAGAGACCGCGATGTAAAACGTGAGACGACAAAACGACGCGCACGATTGAAGGAAGGTGGACGCTAGATGGAAAAACGAGAGCAAAACGATCCGGCCGCCGCGATCGAGGAAAATCTGTAATCGTTAAGCTGCCACTTCTCGAACTCGATTTATCGATACCGGTCTCCATCGGTTCTACCATCGCTGCCTCGGCGAACTTTCTGAATATATTATATCGTATCCCTCCGCGAGAGAGTGCCTTATTGTCTTTGAAGCGCACACATTCGTATTCGTGGCGCGGTCCTTCCGTCCTCTTTTTTTTTTTCCTTTTGTCTTTCCGGTCTTCTCTCTTTCTTTTTTCATTGTGGAACCGAGGGGACGGACAGGGGGCAGCGTGCGTAGCGAGCGAGGCGATAACTGACCGTGGCGGGTGAACGCCCTCCTCTGCGCTTTTGCTGCTCGCTACCGTTGCACAGCCGCCTACCCGATGTGTATACCTTGTTACAACTCCCTGTGTGGGTTACGCATGACAGAGTCTCTCTTTCTCTCTCTCTCTCTCTCCTGTCCGTCTGACTTTCTCGCTTCTGTCTCGCGAAAAAGAACCCGGTCGAAAAGAGAGAGGCTACCCCTCTTGACATTTCGATTTCACGCTGCGAGTGGTCGGCGAACTCTGCGATTTTTCAGACCCGGACCGGGCGCGACCCCGAGGCGCTTGTCCGACTCTTTCAGAGTCGACTTCGGAGCTGGCTGCGACTTAATAACTTTAACATCATTGTTCATCCCGCGTCGGTGAGTATATTCAGAGAGACGGAGCAAGAAATATTCAGCAGCGCTGATCGTACGCGGTCGGCTTTAACAATGGAAGGCAACAAATTACAAAAGACGGATGGAGCGAAACGGGAAGTAGTAAGATCGCTAGGAAGGATGGATATGGGAGAAGAAGATCAAATGAGTTGGCAAGCGGATATGATGAACCGCGAAGGAAATGAAGGGTGCGCAAAGAGTGAGAGGCGCAGGAAGTTCTTCTGGCGGGCGGTTAGTGGAGATATTAGTTTCCCGTGAAACAGAAATGACATTTATGACTCTGTTTTTAGAGAGGCGCCATTAATTCTCAGTTATAAAGGAAATAAAGCGTGTTAAATTAAGCCTCAGCGTATAAGCGAAAATATTACACAACTATGCAAGTATTTCAAACTCCATCTTTGTCAGTTGAACCGATTATGCGTATAATATAACGTGAGAAGAAGTTTTATTAATTAAATCATTAATTTTAACGCCATATAATATAATATTTCATTTGTATATATTAATTGATTCTTGGGACTATTAATATTTTCTTGCAAACATTTGTATTAAGAATGAAATGTTCGTTCATCTGCAATCACGAGATACTTTCTTTGTTGCGTGCACGGAAAGAACGGTTTTGCTGAAATGTTTAAAAGTTTAGCTAGATATAGATCTGAAAATTATGTAAGATGCTTAACTGGTTACTAGAATGTCAAAACTTTTTATAGCACTGCCCATCATCGAGTTTCCTACGTTATAATTATTTTGATGGTCAAATAAAATTATTTGCAGTATCTATATCTACCTAAACTTTTAGATACGAGTACTTCAATAAAATCTTTCCGTGTGGATTCGCAATTGCTTGTCCTGAGCGGCGCAAGTTATTAACTTTTATCGGTGCTCTTCCGTACCCTCCATGTAATAAGATAAATTGATAGATAAATATCTATATATCAATCTCAATATCCGTCTACTTATTTATCTATCCATTCGATCGAGCAAATTGAGCATTCGCCTTTGCACGTCATTATTATAACGCATATTTATTATAATTTCCCATACTACCGTGCAATCCCTAATCGGACAAATCATGTCAAGAAGTAATTCTATTAAGTTTTCTTTGCTCTTAATCTAATAAGCACAGCTAGTTTTAATCAAAACGAAGCTATTAAAATAAGATGCTTCTCATATAATCCAGAGATCAATGCTTGTGCTAAATATCGTATTAAATATTTTTAAATAGATTACTAGAAAAGACCACTGCTAATTACATGTATATATTGCGATCATCGATTTTTTCATAAATTGTAGCTTTCAGAGCCTACTTACATTTTCGGTATCTGGATCTTATCGGCGTCGTTCTGTCTGCCGAAATCATGCCAAGGCCGCGATCTCTGCGGATTTGGATTTGGATTCGGATTTGTCGCACCAGCGGACACTAAGTTGCTGCGTTGCACCTGCGCTTGTGCGTGGCTCTGCTGCAGCTGTAATTGCAGGGGTTGGTGTATCACCGCTCCACTTTCGAGAACTACCGCTGTTCCGGCTGTTGTTCCCCCAGGGCATAATTCTGTGTAGTCGAATGAGGACTAGAAAAAAAATGTAATTTATAAAAAATAAGAACCATATTGGACAACATATAAGGCATAGAAATCCATTTAATCAATTTAAATTGGTAACTTCCATTTAAGCACTCTGAATTTTTTAATTCTTTTTTGATCTTATTTAATTCGAAAATCCTGCCGTAAATTATATATATGTATATAAAAATATTGAAAAATATAATTACATTGAAGTCATGATTTAAGCAATAAATGATAACAAATGCTTTATCGTCCTTCTCGTGACAAAAACTAATAATTTATTTTTCATTTCTTGTGAAAGAAAAAAAAACAGATGGGATATAATGATATAGTATAGTAACATTGATATATGTAGAAGAGATACAGCGTGTAAAAATAATGGTAGTTGTAATTTTTTCCGATCATGTTCTGGTAGGCATAGATAAAACGCGTTCGCATGCACGAGTATACTAAATCTCATTCAATTTAAATGCTCCCTGATTACGGTGTAATTAGTATTTAAAAATCTAATAAGAACGTAATTATTTATCGACGTCATTCGTTTCGTATATCGGCATTATCGCGATTCAATATCTATACACGTTCGCGTCTTATTTTGCATATCAATGCATTTCATTAGATTTTTCCGTATCTCTCACAAGTATCCCTCGATAAATTTCAAACTGCGCCGATTAAAGGGATCGCTGGACCGATAAACGATTAACCGCTCATAAACACGCGATTTCACGTGACTGTCCCGATGCGTCCATCTTGGGTCTCCCTTTTTTGTCGTTGGTTACACATAACGCCGTAAACAAATTTCGATATATAAAACGCAAATGGATTGCAGCGAAAAAACAGTGGTTTTTTCCCATTTATCATTAATATGCGCTTTTTCATGCATTTTCGATTGTGCATTCCGTTGCGCACTGCGCGTATATCGTTGCCGAAGGCAGCACGAACGAAGAAAGAATAGAGGAGCTTTGTGGTCTCGTAAAATCAACCGCACAATCCGCACACCCGCTTCCAACCGTAGCTGTTAATAAGCGGCTTGCCAAACGACCTATTCCCTCATACGTCTTCATGCGATTGCGCGTCGCCTGCAGTTATTTTTCAATGCAACGCGGTTACCGCAGCTCGTTACCTCAACTCTCTGTCATCCCGAAAAAAAATCACGGCAGCTTCTTTCTCTTGCTAAATTCTCTAACCACTGAATCTACCGCACATCGACACAAAGCTATTCGTCGTTTTAGAATTTTTCAAATGTTTTATGCATTAAATGCATGAGATGCAATAAGCATGAAAGTCGCATATTTTCTTCCAGCATAGTTTCGAGACGCGACGTTTCGTTAACAAAAATTTTATCGCATGTCATATATTTTTCAAGTTGAAAATTTCAATTAACGTTCAACGTTTTCGTGATTAACACTTAAAATATAACATGTTGAAATCTTTAGATTTTTTATTGTGCGACAAAAATTTGAATTTTTCACGGAAAAAACGATTTTTTGTTGACAGATCTAAAATTTTTCTGGAAACATCAGAAAATAATTTTATTAGACTACTAAAACAATTTTGTTAGAAACTCAAATTGATTGCTAGAATATCAAAACTTTTTGCAATATTGCTCTTTATTTTTTAACATAATTATTTTAATGGTCCAACAACATTATTTTCTGTAATAAGATTTTTTTATTCGGACCGACAAGAACTAAACACTAAGTATAAGCGTATTCAGGCCTATGACGGTTAAAGCTAGATCTTTTTTGCCTAAATAATTCCCAGTAAATTATTTATATCCTATATATGTACATGCATATATACCATATTTTTGTAGTTATTCAAACTGCGCGCCGAAATTTTTCCGGACTTTATCTAACGCAATTAAACTACTGCAATAATGTCACAAGTTAAATTAAATTGACAATGTGCTGAAAACCTTAAATAAATTTTCTAAAATTATTTTCTGTATTCGGCAAATTTTTAAATCTTTCAATAAAATTATTTTTCCTGTGTTAAATTAATTAATTTATTATAATACACATGCATACAAGAATTTAATAGATCGTCATTTTTACAATTTTATCATATCGTGTGATTAAGCAAATTTCATGCACGACATGCGCAATTTACCAATGATTTATCTACTTATAGGCCGGTATTCATAGTTGGTTTTTATTTCAAGATCGTCTTAAGTAATATCTTAATACACTAATACGGCCGTCTGATTGGTTCGTGATACCTCAAGACAGAACTTAAGACGGTCTTGAATATAAGAACTATAAATACTGGCCATAATGTTTCATCGTTGAGATAAACACAACTGTTTTAATTGAGACGGCAGTAATTAAATCAACGTTTCATGCAAAGTCTAAGTCGCAGTGTATGACTGATGCAAGTGCGAAGACTGTCCCGGATGAGAAAGTGCGCATAGATATTTAATATCTAAACAGGCTTAATCTTATAAGTCAAGTACCAACCAGCTAAAAATCCGTGGCTCCGGTTAAAATATAATACATGCAATTTGCATGATATTGAGACCATACTAAAACAAGATGTCACTCTGCATGTACCGGAAATTTACGATTAATTAAACGAGATCCTTTTTTGCTGGCAAGACATCGAATTCATTAGATAGACGTATCATTCGCGTCGTGTGGTCATAATTGGCCGTGTTACGTTATCTCGGTGCGATTCAGAGCGGCAACGCTTCTCAAATATTAAGAAAATTGTCGGTGGAAGGCGTATTAGTCGCGAGATAAAGCGAGCGCGCGCAGACGGGAAAATTTAATGCGTTACCCACTTTGAATATCAACAGTTTTAATTGCGTGCATAACACAAGCGTGTGCCGATCAGGCGAGCGGATCGGTTTTCAGTAGCACTTACATCCGATACCTAATCCGCCCGACCCGGGGCTTCGGGTTTTATTTCAACGTCTGCCGTCACAAGCGGAGCAGAACGAACGCGTGCTTTCTAATTCGTAATGTCGACTGCAATGCTAATGACTTACTCTCGCGTGTAACGCGCGCGACACGATTAATGCTTCCGGAAGTGGACGAGATATGCAACAGTACATGAGAATGACGAATTGCCTGTGTCAAGAACTGCCGATATAAACGAAATGATACAAGTAACTATATTACCGTTTAATTGAACGAGATTCGTATAGAAAGAATCGAATACGCCTGACATAAAACTGATAAGTTCAGAGAGAGACTTCTAAAGCCTCTTTTTTTCGTGAAAACGCGATACGATTACAGTTTATTGAAATTAATGTTATTTCCTTGAGAAAAATCTGTGTGTGTATGTGCCGTCTGATTATGTAATAAAGTTCTAGTATTAAATACACATCTTACCGTAATGGACTTTGCGACTATTACGATGTTATTTATTGATCTTTAAATGAGGGTCTGATAAGAGGGTCGCTTTAGCAAAACATGTCTATTACGAAAAATCTTTGCAGATATTCAGTTTTAAGAACCGGAGGAACAGGTTCGCTTTTTCGATACGGCTGAGTTTTGCGATTTACCGTAATCTAAGATACTATAATTACTCCTTTAGTATATTATACGCGATATAATATTAGCGTATAGAATTAGCGTCTCCGAATTTATCGCGCCGGCGTAAATAACTGTACGCGACGTTAAGATGGAAAAACTTGCCTGACAAATCGCTTCGAGAACGGCGATCGTGCATACGCATTCGATCTGTCAGTATTTAGAGCGCTTTACGCGTATAATACCGTGCCCGATTTGCATTGCGGGAGACACGGGGAATTAATCGCGTAAGAGAGTACGGCTCTCTTTCGCGGGTGAGGCGTCGTCGTGGGCGAAAGCCCACTTACTTGACAAATCGCATTGAAAACGATACCATAACGCAGCAATACCGATACGCACATCCGTGATATCCGCGTGCGAATATGCTCGCAATAGGATAACGGTTAATACCCGCATATATTAATGTACCGAAGGTGTCTTTTGAAGCCGGGGGACGAGCCGGCCGAGCGTTAACGAACGATATTTACGGTATCGCGCCGCGAGATTAATTGCATCGCGATCGCTTATGGCGCCGTGGGCGAAGTCATTTGTACCGTGGTTGATCGAATTGAAAACGATAGCGCGAGAGCGGCTGCAGCAGATGATGCCATCTTTTCCCATCGCTGCCTCCGTACGGCAGCTCTCGATTGAGTTACGGTCATTCCGCGTCTCGGGGCACAGCGATTCTCTCTCGGCCAAACGTTCTGGGGCATTTTTCCCGGACAATTAATGACGCTGCCGGCACGCCATCCGCGTAATTCAGTAGCGAGCACCTCCGAGTAGTAAATATTTCTTCACGTATCCCCCCTGCAACCCGTTAACTTCGATCCTCGCTGACGAGACAGCCGCGGGATCCTGCTCCGATCATGGCTTGCTCTTGGTTACGTCGCCTGCTGATTGCAATTTATATAGACGTGAGCCATTTACGATCGTCCCTGTCGGCTAACTCCGTGTCATCATCTTACGCCTGGGCAGTGTTAATATATTACGTGGCAGAGCAATATGTTACACGCGAGGATCGTTTTATTCCATTTCGAAAGCTTTTCAGCTCTTTACATTCTCAGTGTTCCGAACTTTACGTCAGCTGCTTATGTTATGAGACGTCAACAAATTTCCTCCGTGGAATTTCTTGTCCAACTCATACTTGTTTGATCATGGTAATTTTCACCCTGGACTTATACTGTCATCCGACTTTAGTGACTTTATCGCGTCAGAAAAACGAGAGATCTTTATTCGATTCGATCGTTAACGACATAGCTCGTAAATGCATCCACGCCTACCTGTGCTCGAAAATACACGCTAACGACGTATAAGAGAATCTCGCTTTTAATCTCTATAGAACGCATTTACACAGCCATTATAGTATAGTGTTGAAACAATATCAATATTTTGAAGCAATACAATAAAATAACAAATTAAAAAAAATCTTACTCGAGGGAAAGCTGTAAGATTTTAAAAATAGACTCTCTAGAAATTAAAGCTGGATGCACTACGTGGGTTAGGAGTGTACCGAATGACAAAAGGAATGAAATTAATCTCGCTCGTAGACTCACCTGATGAAGAGCTGTGGTTGGATGATGGTCCTGTCTGGGCGTCACCGCGTCGGCGCCTATGCCAGAGTCAGGGCTGGGAAGATCAACGGTCAGGACTTTGCTGCTACTCGACGACGAGCGTATCGCGTGTGTCGTAGCATATGAGCTCGGCACGACCTCGTACCTCGTGTACGAAGCAGTCGTGGTGGACAGCGAGGAAGTGGAGCTCGACGAGGCGAGCGGCGGCAGTGCGTCGCCGGCGACGTAGACTGTCGTCGCCTCCTGATGGAGGCCGCCACCCGGATTCGCCGTTGCGTTTCCCGTCCCGGTCGCTGACGTAGACGTATAGGCGGTCGACTGCAACCTCGGACTGCACGACGTGTAGGGGTCGTAAGGGCTGCCGTACTGCTGCACCTGTACACCCGTCAATTGCTCGGTTGACTCTCCTCCACGTTCGTACGATTCGCCGCGATTGGCGCACCTCGAGGAGATCGCGGTTCCCCACGTTTTCACCGTCGCATTTACACATTTTTTTATGGGGAAAGAAGACCGCGCGATGATGTGGAACTCGCGAGATACGCTGCAATTGTGCAATTTTCGAAATGCGCGGGAAGCGATGTTATTTTCTCAAATATTATCTTGCGATGTGCAAATGTTGCGTATTAGGCTATACGTGACACGACGTTTCGGATCGTATAGAAGTTGCAAATCTTTAGCAATTTTACGCCAAATACATCACATAACGTTTGAAGTTATTTGAGAATTGATTACAAATTCTATTCTCACCGCATGTGATTATGGGAATAACTTTGTAACGCGAAGAATTGAGAATTCTTGTAGGAATGGATCATTAAATTAATATTCAAACATAACACATGTTGTATGAAAAGCGTCGAACTTTCGAAAGGTCGGAGTAAATCGAATAAACGTAAATAATCGCGAACTCTCGCGAGGGAGAACTCGTGATTGCACTTGGCAATGATCGTCTGCAATTTACCTGCAACTGATGCGGATGATGATGGTACATTCCCGGTGGTGTGGGACTGTCGGGTTGCGTCTGTTTGTGTCGTTTGCTGGGTTGTTGGCCTCCGCGTGACGAGCTGAGATCTTCCGGTTCCCTCTTAACCCCGACGATGCCGGCGCTCGAGGCACCGTCGTGTCGCAGGGGTTGTGGGCTGAGCGGAAGCGGAAGCCCACCCTGCAGGCTCTGGCTAGGACTGTGAGATTGCTGGTTGTACTGGAGGAAGTGGTGTAGCTCCCCTCCTCCGGCACCTTCGCCGCCTTCCATGCGATTCGTCGAGGCGGAACCGGAGCCAGGCGCCTCTTGCACCAGCAACTTCTGGCCCATCACACCCCTTCAACAGTCCGTGAAAAATTGACCTTAAGTTATAGCTCCTTTTACCGATCACCGACATCGGCATCGATCCGCATCGCGCCCTAAGAACGTGTGACGAATTCGCGCTATGTATATCGAGATCGATACAATACAGGCCCATTCGCGTTGCTTCCGTTTGCTTTTTTTATGGGGTCCGCCATCTGGACCATCTGAGCATTTTGGACTGACATCGGCCGCTCAATGAAAAAGATTGAATTTTTCGCATTCACAAATACTACGACGAGTGAAGAAAGATTACATTTTTTTTATACATATATCTAACGGAATGGAAACTTGTTCAAAATTTCAATGATGACAAACATTCTTCTACAAAGTCTCAAATATTAAATATAAAACTAGTCACAATACATAAATAGAGAGATACATGTTTTCATTATTTTTTAATCTTATTAAAAAATTAATGTATGTATGCACCGAATTTACAGTGAGACTTAACTTAAAAAGATAAGATCCTTAAACAGTCAATAAAAATGTAAAAAATTAATAATATATTAATCAATTTTATTAATAGATATCGCTTTATTAATATAATATGAGTATTGTAGTAGTTTTTATCTTTATAATTAGGAACAACTAACGTTATTTAAATCCTACGTATTCATTGAAATGATAATTGAATTGGCATCTTCAAAGAAACACAAGAGACGGGTCGTACTTTCTTTCTCCTTTCTCCGTGCCCTGTCGACGGATAAAATCAGCGAGGAAAACCGGCGCTACACTTCCGCTGCGCGTCGCACGCTGCATCTGCCGAATTCGGCAATAAAATTTTCGATGCGCGACGCGCGCGCGAAGAAGCGCGATTCGTCGATCGACCGTACGGGAGAAGAATCGAGAGGATCGCGGTATTATGCGAAGTAGTTAACATGTTATATTTAGCATGATAATACGTATCCACAATACCGGGGACCCTTATAAACTGCCAACGCTTTTGGTGCATTCCCCCTTCCACCCTTTAACCCTCTTCCTATCGTCTCTTCGTCTTTTCCATCACGAAGGATCGTTTCCTCACGTTCCTTCTCTCTCTCTCTCTCTCTCTCTCTCTCTCTCTCTCTCTGTCTCCTCGTAACCCTTTTCCTTTTTTCTCTCTCTCTCTCTCTCTCTCTCTCTCTCTCTCTCTCTCTCTCTCTCTCTCTCTGTCTCCTCTTAACCCTTTTCCCTCTAAAAAAAGTACACATTCCTCTTTCCATCTCACTCCATCCTTTCGCACCATCACCGTAGTTCCTACCCTACGGTCAGATGCTTCCGTACAATGATCTTTTTTTGCACTTGATACCTGATCTCTCGTCTACTTTCTCTCCTGTTTCTCTATCCTGCCTTTTCTCGTCTGTCTCGCAATACGAAGGGTGACGGCGAGAGGATGAGAAGTCTCTCGACGACTATCCCGCGTGGTGCGTCTCGGGTCGCCCTCGGCACACTTGTGCCTGAAGAGGTGCGGATAGGCCCCGAAGATCGTGGCCGAGACCGGGGAAAAGACGGCGGGTAAACCCCGGCCGTGGCGAGATCGGGCACGTTCTTTTGGCAAGCAAAAAGAATGCGCCGCCATCACCCGGGGCCATAGCGGCAAAATCTGGGCCTCATGAATTCGGCTTACGTGAAATGGATCCGTTCGCGCGCTCTCCATTCGCGACGCCTCTCGCGAGAGCGTTTCCCGATAATGCGATGCTAATCCGAGGTCGCGCGATGCGAAACGGGATTCGCGTGCGCACACCTTGGGAACCCGATAGGCACCCCTGAAAATGTGGGATCGCTAGGTGCGAGGTATCAGATTGCAGACCGAGTCTGCCTGGCGTTTTAAGCTCTCGGGAACGTAAGTAGTTTTGTGCAACTGTCATCAACACATCATCATCAGATATCTTGGATTTTACGGAAGTTTTTGTTAATTAAAAAAAAGTATCAGATGACATGCAAACGATTATCATCTCTAATAATGTGCTCAACAATGATCATCATTAAATCTGGAAGCTTAATGATTCTTGTTGGAACATTGCGTACTCGGCTCTGATACCGTACATTAATATCATATATTAACTTCGCGTTCTGGATTAACGGATCATATGTTATCAACCCATTAGACTGTATTACATTGCATTGAAAAGGATCCCAAGCATGGATCGAAACATTTGTCTAATTATTGTCAAATAATCAAATAAATTAATATTAAACACATCAATATCTTGTGTCTGGCTCTTAAGGCAATTATATGTATTTGAATTTAAAAAATATCGTCATAATTTAAAACGTTTTCTTACCTTGTGAAAAATTTGGAAGACATTCTTCTGAGATCTCTTTACACTCTTGATCCGATTTCATATCAAGAATAAATATTAAATATGTATTGAATCCGTAATCCGCAGTTTTTTCGGAGTAAACCTTGCCACTATCTTTCGTGTAGTAACATTAAACGATGTACGAAACGGAGTATTTTTTTCGTTTCTTCATAGCTGTCGAATAAATAAGTACTGAATGTTAGTGATTAAACGAGAAAAAAACATACGAAAAAAAGCAAGAGAAGTTTAACGTAAAACGAAGAAGAAAAAGTTCGATATTTGTTTTAGATCATTTATTTCGTAGAGTTATGCGTATGCCACCAGTTTTATTTTTATCCATGCGTCTAATTCATGCGGAAAAGATCGACAATGTCGATAGATACATTGTTCAAAATATAATACTCAAGTAGATATTCGTAAGTCGAAGTACATATATTAGGTCAGAAGCGTGATAAATCAATGTGTTACAACTTTTTGATAAGACAACGTCTCGGTAAACAACTGGAGATATGTTATCATGGCTATAAAAACTTCTAACCAGAAAATTGTTAACTTTGATGTGCACCTGTGCAATTTGTAATTTATGACTTATGAGAATATATCCTCGTCAAGTTTTTTTTCCCCATTATTGTTATTGTTATTGGCGTTGTTATATCGCTGTGTAATGACTTGCGGTTTTACATACAATATATGTAGATGTAGTTAGAGAACTACCAAGCGACTATCTTTTTAATTTCAAAGTATTCTTTTTTTCTGCACGCAGAGAAAATATTAGTCAACGGAGCTAAAATATAGCTGCGGCAGCTAAAATGCGTCCTTATAATAGGGACAGCTATGTTGTTGCTAATGTTACTGTCAAAGCTCAATTTATTAGCTGCTAAAATGTAGGTGCTGCAGCGAAAAATATTCTCTGCTGGAGTAAAATGATAACTGACAGCGTCCCAGAAATAATTGCGAATGGAATGCTCGGTTACGTGACTAAGATAGTGAGGAATATAATAGCTGCCACTTACTTGGCTACTCGTATTAAATACGCTTTTAATCTCAACTAATGAAGTTGGATGTCGGCAGCAAATGTATTTTATCTTTAATAGCCAACTTTTAGCAATAACAGCAAAGTTTGAACCAGGAACTGATATTACTGTAAGTCCTTTTTTTGCGTGCGGCAATTGGAAAATAGAAATATGGCACGAGCAAAAAAAATCTACAAATATCGACATGAAACTTTGAAGAATTTTGATAATAGCGATTCGTCGCTTTTTGCCTCATAATTGTTGCAAAAGAATAAATCGCAGTAACCGACATCGACCAATCACGTGAGATATTTGTAAGAATCCTGAGTGAAATATAAACACGACAAAAGGGAGAGAAACGCATTTATAAAATTCCGACGATGTTGACGTGCGTAAGATACCGTTTTTTATCGTTTCACCTCTGCACCTCCCAGGAAACGCCAGTCTTCGGCGACCAGCAGAGGAGACCAAAGAAGATCAGAGAACTGCATTCTTTTTCCATGCGTGTGGGGAAAATCTTGTTAATTACACCGGTATCTGCAGCGTGTTGTCTCCCACTTCCTTAGAACTTTAAATCTACCAGAGTAACGCAAACCTTTCATCTGAGCCGAATGCCGACAATTTTCTTATTATCTACTTCGACCGCTATCTTTTATCTGATAGTCTAGTATTGGATCTATCGTCCTGTAAGCACTTAGTTAATTCTTGAATTTGATATAGTGATACTAGGGCAAACATGAAGGACTTTGTGCTACTCTGATACATCTAAGGTTTGTTCGCGTCGCATGTTCTGACACACATGCTCTAAAATGCTCCTACTATATCATTTACTCACTCTAATGTACTCGTTGAAGTGAGTAAAAGCTAGAACAGGAGCACATTGGAGCATGCTGGAGCATGTGACGCGAACAAACCTCTAGAGTCTCCTTCTGAAGAATGAATACGCGTCACACACAAATTTGTGCTTCTTGTGACTTGTTCGCGCTGCAAACGAGTAAATTATCACCGCACGTCGCGTTATACAGTCTACTGCATTCCATCGTGTTTTTTTTTTACTACTTCGCGTCTCCGCTGTCCATCGTACGCGGTGACCGCGCAACCCGCGCGCGTACCGTGCGCAAGTACGAGTGCAAGAGGCAATTATGTGCTTACGGTGCAGTACTATCGACGACAAGGCTTTCACCCCGGCGGCAGCAACGGCGGCCCGACATGTGAACCCGCAGGTCGCCGAGGTTACCGCAGGGTCGCGACATGCATGGCCATTTGTACGTAAGTACGCGAATACGCAGTCTTCGTCGAGCGATCTACGGCGTCGGGACGCAGCTTGCGGTACCGCGAGGCTGCGGATATCAGGCTCGCGGTAAACCCAGCTTCGGAACCGGAATCAGGCATTTTTTTAAACCGGAAATCGGGAGTATCGCTGCGAACGCGTGTGCGTACGTCATAAGCGACGGACCTGTCTGCGTATGTAGCACGAGACGAAACTCGAAAGACAGGTCCGACAAAGTGGCGCTCTACCGGCTGCTCGCTCGGGTCACTCCTTTGATTATTATTGCCGGTTTGCTTTTTTTTCCATCTCGCGTCTGCCGCTCGCTCGCTCGCGCGCGTCTACGACTTTTTCTGCCTTTACGAGCTCACGCATGCACGCACGTCGGCACCTGTGCTTATAGCACGTGCCGCCGTGTCGCGGCAATGTCAATGTACATATATGTATGTACGCGATGGACGGTGGAGAGGAAATTTAGATGCGTGCGGCGTGGCCAACGATGATGGTCTGCCACTATTCACGATGACCGCCGCGTGGCTTTCCTAGTGCTTTACTTCCTAGGATTATCGCGCGTTTCCTGGAACACGTTACTGTCGGTAGCTTTCAGGAATTATGGAACGTCCTTTGATCCTCATCTTAATATCGCACGAGTTCATCTATGTGTTTTTGTAGAAGTATTCCCGTTTATAATACTCTCTAAACTTTTAGAATGAATTATCACTTTGAAGAGCGAAATCTCACTTTTAAAGATTGAAAATTGAACCATTCTTTTTCAAGACTGGTTTAATTTTCACTCTTTAGAATGAGGTTCCACTCCAAAGAATTTAGAGAATACGTATTTCATACTGTCTTTCGAAATTTTGTTAAATATTTTTAATAGGAATTGTTAAGAAAGATTACAATTCTCATCTCGTAGAAAACAGATTCAAATGTATAAAACATCTCAACGTCGTCTAATGGTGTAATAGAATTATACTTATTTTAAAATTTATTTTATGAAAACAGTTATATGTAGTCGGGAATTTTAATCAGAAGCTAATGTAAAACGATGCGCTACATTGAGTTCCGCAGGAGACTCATGTCTCTCTTAAAATCAACGACCCGATAGTTTCTTCAGGTTCGAAT